GTATCCATGCCCCGAAAGTATATTTCAGACCCATCCCATGTCTTGGAAGAACAACCCATAGAGTGGAGGGATGATTAAAGTTATGTGGAGCAGCCTGTTCAGATCCTGGATTGCTTGAGTGACAGGTACGTAAATTTCGAGGACGAAATTTTCATAAGGGGGGTGGATTGTAACAACCCGATCCTTAAATAATATTTAACTAATATTTTATTAGAGAAAAAGACTAGTATACCCTTAGAATATTTTATTAGGTTTTCAGATGATGTTTTGACTGGGATGGAATTTGGGAAATCCACTTGTACCGTTGCGTGGAGCACGATGAAACGAGTCCGTAGACACGTAATGGACTCAATTCGGACTTGTAACAAAGGAATTACAAGCCAAAATGTAAAAATGGGCAAAGTGGTAATTTTCAGAAATCAGATTTAAAGATCTGATTTCCTCCTCTCCTCACTCTCTCTCCTTGCGTCTCTTCTCTCTCCCCGATACCAGACCAGCCGACCACCTCCATAACCACCCAGCCGCCACCAGCCAGCACCGGACCAGCTAAGATCAAATCGGCGTCGCACCCGCAGCCAGCTCCGACCTCCCTTCCGCCTTGCGCCGCTGCGAACCGACGGAAAAACCAGAAAAATTCCGTCGGTTTTGACAGTTTTTGCAAGCCTCCGTTCTCCCTCCTCCGGCCACCAAATTGGATGAATTAGGTATGGTTTTTCGACTGATTTTCACGATCTAGCTGGTGGATGGGTAGGTTTTCAGAGGTTTTGAGGTTTGAAGGGTTAATTCTTGATTTGAAATTCTGCCGGATTGAGAGCTCGGTTTCAGTCACTTTCGACCACTTTTTGGCCATAGTCCAAGAACAAACGTGGTTCCAAATAGGGTATATTACCTAGGATAGGAGTTTAGGCCGACGTTGTGGAGAAAATCCGGTCACCGGAAATTTTTAGGTACACCCATGCGCTGCAGGCGCTTGGGCGGATCGTGGGCCAGGTAACAGGAGCCACTCTTGGTCCTAGAATAATCCTCGTGTCCTCACGAGGGAGTAGGATTTCGCGGATCTCAATTTGGATAACGTTTGAACCCCGAACGGATCTCGCATAGTGTGCGATTTCCGAGTTCAATACGTTCGGACCGTTGGATCTTAGCCAAACTGGAGTATGTTGATCTAGGTATTTTAAGCATCGTGTAGGATTCGACGGATCGTAAATCGGAGACCCGGATGCTCTGAAAAAGCCAACCCTAGGGCTAGGTTTACGGAAAATCGTTCGTCAGTCAGACCGTGCGATCGTGAGCAATCCGACCGTCCGATCAAGACCAAATTTTCAGGACATGTGTCCTAGGCTTGTTGGAACCTCTAGGAACGTTCGGATCGGAATTCTGAGTTCGTGGACCCCACGGGGTCCCAAGTTGACTTTTTGGGACTTTATCGCTTTTGAGTCCCTAGGGACTTTTAAATCGTGCCCATTGAGAGAAAAGCTAATGTGGGTATAGGAATGACTTTTAAAGTGATGCACGCACTTTTAGGAGCCGGGGGTCAGGGTTTTTAATTTAATACTATATTGCTGAGCAGAGTTTTTAATAAAATATTATGATGGTTATACAGGCACCTAGGGTATATTACCTAGGATAGGAGTTTAGGCCGACGTTGTGGAGAAAATCCGGTCACCGGAAATTTTTAGGTACACCCATGCGCTGCAGGCGCTTGGGCGGATCGTGGGCCAGGTAACAGGAGCCACTCTTGGTCCTAGAATAATCCTCGTGTCCTCACGAGGGAGTAGGATTTCGCGGATCTCAATTTGGATAACGTTTGAACTCCGAATGGATCTCGCATAGTGTGCGATTTCCGAGTTCAATATGTTTGGACCGTTGGATCTTAGTCAAACTGGAGTATGTTGATCTAGGTATTTTAAGGATCGTGTAGGATTAAACGGATCATAAATCGAAGTCCCGGATGCTTCGAAAAAGCCAACCCTAGGGCTAGGTTTACGGAAAATCGTTCGTCCGTCCAATCGTGCGATCGTGAACAATCCGATCGTCCGATCGAGACCAAACTTTCAGGACATGTGTCCTAGGCTTGTTGGAATATCAAGGAACGATCGAATCAGAATTCTGAGATCGTGGACCCCACGGGGTCCCGAGTTGACTTTTTGGGACTTTATCGCTTTTGAGTCCCTAGGGACTTTTAAATCGTGCCCATTGAGAGAAAAGCTAATGTGGGCATAGGAATGAGTTTTAAAGTGATGTACGCACTTTTAGGAGCCGGGGGTCAGGGTTTTTAATTTAATACTATATTGCTGAGCAGAGTTTTTAATAAAATATTATGATGGTTATACAGGCACCCGGGCACCAGGTGACCCGCAGGAGGGACCTTCAAAGGGTCCA